CCTTGAAGTGTAAACTTGTTTAATAAACCATATCTTTCATTTTCGATTTTTAATTCACGTAGTCCGGGAACTTTCCGGACAAACTGTGTATAACTACGAGAAATTCGGACCTTTTTTGTGCAACCAATTTAGATGAGTAGTACGAGCGATATGTTATTGAACCCACGTTAACGTCTTTAGATGAATTCCAAGAACGTGATAGTGGATGGGCTTTGTCACGTATACTGAATTTAATTGTAAACGTGAACAAGTACAATTCATTGCGCGCAGGATGTCGTATAAATTTGCCATCAGAAGTTAAATTTAAGAAAGCGGTAATTAATGTGCTATCTGAAGACAATGCATGCTTTGCATGGTCGGTGTCGCCGCTCTTTATCCAGTCGAAAAACATGTAGAACGCGCATCATCGTATCCTCACTATACGACAATGCTGAATCTACAGGACATTGTATTTTCAATAAGTGTACACTACATACCAAAATTTGAACGACTCAACAACATCTCTGTCAATGTGTACAACATGGAACTGAAAAGGAAGAAGAATGAACCAAACGAACTTGACATCCTTCCAATATGTCTTACAGAGCAGAAGAGAGAGAAGAACGTAAACTTTCTCTACGTTTCGGATCCGCGAGAAGTTAATCTGAAGCACTTTGCATGCATAAAGAATCTGTCTCGACTCGTGAGTGCAAGTATGCAAACACAATGGAAAGAAATATATTTGCGATAGGTATGCTTCCATTATATATAGGATGCGTGACAATATGAGAAATTTATGTAAAATGTATATTTTTTGCAGATGTTTACACTACTTTCATTCTCTGGACAAGTTGAATGTCTACACGGTAGATTGCGGAAACTTGAACAACTGCGCGATCCGGTTACCGGCGGAAGATGACAAGTGGCTTAGTTTTACCAACCACAAAAGAAAGGAACGTCTTCCGTTTGTAGTATACGCTGAGCTTGAGAGCGTATTATATAAGAATGATGGAGCGACGCAGCAGCAGGAAACGTCCTACGCGTACCAACATCACAAGGCGTTTAGCATAGAATTTTACGTCTGCTGCTCATACAACGACTCCTTTTCTGTTTATCGGTATCGTCGCGGCAAAGATTGCATTGCATGGTTTGTTGAAGAACTCAAAGAATTCGCTAATTGGATAAAAATCATTCTATCTACCAATGTGCCCATGGAAACGTTAACAGAAGAACAAAAATCAGCTTATCGTAACGCGAGTCACAGTCACGTGTGCAAATAACCATTTGCAGCAGATGACATAAAAGTTCGCGATCATTGTCATCTGACTGGTCGATACAGAGGTCCTGCGCACTCCAACTGCAACTTAAATTATAAAGATTTACATTGTATTCCAGTAATTTTTCACAATTTATCTGGTTACGATGCGCACTTTATTATTAAAGAAGTTGCGACAGCGTTTGAAGGAAAGATTACTGTTCTCCCTATTGTTACGTCCTGAGCCTATGGTTACAGTCGGGCATTAGTGGTAGTACGCAACAGACGCACTGACACATTCAAGCAAACGTGAAGTCTATCCCGGCACATTGACACAAAGAAGGAAGTCAGGAATGCGGTCGAACGAGACAGTTCGGCAACGCAGACAGGCCAACGCGGTTACCCGATTTTTCTTTGTCTAACGTATTCTCACTTGTCGGTTCCCTTTTAGGTCTAAGACGCAAGTCTCAATTACCAAGGACGGAACCACGCGATTTAACGAGGAATGAACGGGTTGTTAATTGAGTGTAGTTTACTAGTAGTAGTTTGTTAGTTAGACGAGGTCCATAAGGGTTGAATTAATCAAAGCCGGATTTGTTACGAAGTATTATCATAATTGTTTATTTAAGCAGGTTGTTAAAACAATAATAATAACTGAAGGAAAACATAAGTAGACTCCACATGAATTTGCTTTAAATTGACACGTACAGTTCAGGTGCTACGATTCGTGTTCTATAACGATTATTATTAAAGAGATCTCCGCGTATTGTTACAAGCGGCGGAATGTTTTGTTGTAGTGACATCGAGATTATTGAGCTAGATTAAAGTTAATAGAGAATCTTAAGTCCGGAGCGTGTTTACGAGAAATGATTTCTTTGAAAAATATATTGCTGTTAACTACGGGTCGTCGGTCGGATCCGTCTCCGCAAGAGATCGTAAAATGAGAAGGGTCTATTGTTCGGAAGATTCAATTTTAACATAGGCGCTGTTCTTTTGACTATGAGTAGCAAATCGAGATAATCAATTAAAAGTAGATCACTATTATTGAATTATTGATTGGATAAATGTTCATGATTGTTATTACGGTACTCGGAATCATTACATTACGTTGTGTGTCGAGAATTAGAAATGGTAGTAAGAATTGATGATCTTGACTGCTGCTCATATCGAAATGCAAAAGGTGTATGAGTCTGTATTAGTGAAACTTACAATGTACTCGGTGATATATTTTGGTGAAAGTGATGCTGGAAATTGGCAAGGTTGCTCGGTAATTGGTCGTAGTTGTTTTGCTTGGATTCACGCTGCTCGCGGATAATCGCAAGAGGAGTCGGCGGCACCCTCAGCAGGTTCGACGAATGAGAAGTTTGCGAAATTTCTTTGATTCAAACTGACTGACCAATTGATTGTTAATCACTGACTCTATCGCGAGAAACTATTCTCTGAAGATCGGACTGTGTTGGAAAACTGCGTACTGATTAATGAATGCTCAATCGAGCATCCAGGGCTTTTATACATGCGGGTTGATTTCCTTTTTTCCATCGTCTTTTCTCGAAATTTCGACCTCTCGTTCGTTCACTGCCGGGGCACAGACCTTTTCCCCTTTCGTTCGATTCTCCGGGTCGATAGGATCATCGTTTGTTTAGGTCTCGCTTATCGGTACGTGCTCTATCTTGTTTATGTCTGCGAGTCGCAACTTTAGCCCTTTGATTTTCGATTTCCTTTCCAGAGTCGCGAGAGCCGCTGTGTCATGCCCAAAATTTCCGAGCGCGTAGCTTGCGTATAGAGAATCTTTGTTCATCACATTCACTTCTGAGGGGCGATAACCTTTGCTCACCTTTGCTCATCGATACCGGTTAGATTTTGTTTATAATATGACGTCCGGCTAGGTTTGTTTATAATATGGCACCCGGTTCGGACTTGTCTATCTTATCTCGGTTGGCTCTCGTTTCTCTTTTCAGGAATTCGTTACAAGGATTATTTCTTAGATTTATCGTTAGACTTAATAATTATATTCCGATGCAAAATGAAAGAGGCCGTGGAGTCCAGGACGTAACACTATTAACAAGGAGGGATACATATCTTTTTCCAAGAACGTCACGCAACCGGAAAAAAGTAGTTCAAAGAGTTACAATATAGAGTTGCGATTCATTGATTCGTACAAATTTCGCAGTGCTAGCCTCGATAAACTAGCATCATTTCTTAACAAAGACAAGTTAAAAATTTTACAATCAGAATTTAGAAATTTATCCGTCGAAAACTGTAAGTTATTAACGCGTAAAGGGGTCTTTCCGTACGAATATGTAGACTGTGTCGACAAGTTGCTAAAGCGACGTTTACCACCGCGTGAGTCATTCTACAGTTCCTTGACCGGTGAAACGATATCTGAGAGTAAATATGCACACTCTAGAAACATCTGGCTACGATTTTCTATTAGTACGTTAGGTGAATACAGTGATTTATATTTGAAGACTGATGTTTTATTATTGGCTGATATATTTGAGAATTTCCGCGAAAGTTGTATCCGAAGTTATGGATTAGATCCTGCGCATTATTATACTTTATCCGGTTACACGTGGGACGCTATGCTAAAACACACAGGCATAACGTTCGACCTGCTCACAGATGTTGATATGGTTATGTTTATCGAACGCGGTATACGCGGTGGCCTTAGTCAGTGCAGCGCAAGATACGCGCACGCTAATAACAAGTACATGCAGACGTATGACACATAAAAACCAACATCATATCTCATGTATTTTGATATAAATAACTTGTACGGCTGGGCAATATGTCAGCCATTACCGTATGCCGCATTCCAATGGGTAGACAACGTCTGGAGTGTCGACGTGATGTCTGTGGCATCAACCTCAGATATCGGTTACATCCTTGAAGTCGACCTCGAGTATCCTCGCGAACTGCACGACGTGCACGCTGACCCACCGTTCTGTTCGACGCGTGATAAGCCGCCTGGCAAGCGACAGGAGAAGCTGCTCGCAACATTACATAACAAAACGCGTTACATCATTCACTATCGTGCTCTGCAACAATGTGTGCGACACGCATTGTATCTTCGTATTACAAAGATCCACCGCATATTACAATTCATGCAATCTCAGTGGCTCCGCAGTTACATCGAATTAAATACACAATTTCGAACGCTTGCTAAAAACGACTTTGAAAAAAATTTATACAAATTGATAAATAATGCGGTTTTTGGTAAAACTATGGAAAATATGCATAACCATCCCAGATAGCACATGAATGTCCATAGGATATCCAATGGACGTCCGAATTCGGACATCAGGACGTCCACTGGATATCCGTATAAAATCCAGTGGGCGTCCATTGGATGTCTTATGGACATCTGTTTTTGACAACTGCGGACGTCCATTTGTTTTCCAAAAAAGGACCTNAAAACGAACTTGAAATATATATAATTTTTCATGTCTTATAATTTGGAATTGTAAAATGAACATTTAAGAATATATAAAGAACAGATAAATGAGTAATTATAATATATATAAATAATCTGAAATGCAGAATTACAGTTCATATA